TATTATTTATATATAAAAAATTGATGCATATTTATTTCATTGGAATGATGTTATCTAGGTATTGGATATTGGTCTAATCAGTCAAACTCATTCACTCTTGACCTCTAATTTCAACTAAGTTGCTAGCCAATCTGAGTTTCAAAACATAGGTTATAACTTTGCCTCTACCCAAAAATTGGTATGGCAACTACTTTTAGCTAATTATGTATGTTACCTAAACTAATAGAACCAACTGCAGAAGATAACATTTGAGTATAGTTCTAAATAGTTTCAATTCCACTCCACCTTTATTAACACGTTAAGAGCTCACTAGAAATATCTAAAAGTGCATATTAGTTAGAATAAATAACAGTGGCCCTCAAGATTTAACTCAATTGAGTTTGTGTATAGAGAGTTACTTAAAACTAATAAGGACATTAGTCAGGTAACAAAGAGGTCCCCGATTCTGAATATAAAACCCTCCCCTTACTCTGTTCTTCCTTGCAAGACTTTACAGTCCCATTTGAAAACAAATAAGATAAAAATAAATAAATGAATAAATACTAGACGTGTACATCTCTTAGCAGACAAAAAGATGAACCAGAAAAATGGTAACCAAGTCTATTTTACATTTCCATTTAAACATAAAGGGTATAAGATGGAAATTCTGTAGTAAGGAGAATCGGGAATCGACGATGGAATGGGGGTTAGATCAGGCATGCCTCATGGATTAACTTGTTATCTTGATTAGTTATCCTGACATGTATAGAATTTGTATAGTATAGATTATACAGCGGTGATTGATGTGGTAGGAAGTTCCTTCCTTTGTAAAGCTTCTCTTCTGTTGGTCAATAAAAGAAAGAGTTTTTTGCTTAAAAAAAAAAGATGGAAATTATGTAAGCTAATTCATGTTCGTGACGCTGTAGGCTTAATGCAAAGATATGTACATTTAAGGCCTGTCCATAAAACTTATAATGTAAATTGTGAACAAAAAAAGAAAAGCCTGTCCATCTGGTTCAATGTGTAGTGCCACATCCCTTTTACGAGTTGTTAGCAGTATTTTGCTTCCTTCCTATGTCATCGGGAAAGCGTGTTTTATGGATTTCCAAGCCTCTATTGACCAAATGTCATCAAGAACAATCAAGCATCTTCTCTGCTGCAAGACCCGGCGAAGCTTTGTTCCCAACTCCTGCTCTGTGCTATTCATTGTTAGTGTCTTTGCTCGGAGTCAGGGATAAGTTTAACAAGCACTTCTTGCAAAAGATCTCTTGCTTGCCATTGTTGTGACACACAAATCCATGCAAAACGACTGAAGTACTTCCTCAACCTTGGATCATGATATACTCTTCTAGCCAGAGTCGTCTTACCCAAGCCTCCCATCCCATAAATTGAAATGACTTTCTGGGAGCCAACTTGACCTTCATCGAGCAAACACTTGACTAAAATCCCACATCAGTCTCCAATCCAATGAAATCATCGTCAGCCACAAAGGAGTATGTCCGCCTTAACTTTTGTTGCGTGGAACGTGGTGCTTGTTTTTCCATAATAGTAGTTATGCCATACTCAGCAAAACGGTGGGTAAGGCTAGAGATCCTATTTCTGAGACTTTGAATCTCTGAGCCCAGATTATGATTTATGACGCGTATAGAATTCGTTGAAGATGCAAGCATACCTTTCAAGGAAACTTGTAGAATCTTGGGACGAGACTCTGAATGCATAATCTTCAATCAAATCATTGGCTTCATAAGCAATAGCTTTAAATTCAGCAACCCATGGTTGGAACTTGGAATCTCTCCCTTACACTCTGCTTTGTATCTGCATACTTTAAGAACCATTCCATCTGTTTCAGATCTTCATGGAGTAACCTAACTTGCTCACTAACACCTTGAAGAAAATTTGCTTCTTCAATCAATAGTTTGCCAATGCTTTCTACCGCAAAAGATAGAATTGCATCTGCCAATCAAATCAGATATGTGTAATGTAGTATTAAGAACTAATCTGGTATGTGAGAGTAATATGATATAGCAAGAATTTGCTCTGCCCATCTGTGTTTTGGCTGGTTATATATGCTTGGTCATATGATCATCACAAAACATGACTTTATCGCTTGCTTATGAAATTACCAACAGCCTTTTTTTCTTGGATGTCTGTTCTTCTCCTAGACTAGGTTTCGAATATTTTTCTCATGGATTTTATTCCTTTCTCTGCTTTAATAATGGAGTTACTTCTCCAGTTTTGCATCCAGTATTATATTTGTCCGTACAACTGTGTCAAATGTTAAACAAATAACATATTCGTATGAAATTACTGAAAGAAAGCTATCAATTTAATGATGGCTAATGAACGTTGATGCAGGTAGATGCTATCTTCTTTATGAGTTTGCATGTGTTTTGTCTGATCTATTCCCTTAAACTTTAGTTGCTGTCCCGCACTGCCACTGCTTGCTTTATGCCTTCATATGTTTGCTTTTAGCTTAGTTTAATGCGTTAAACACTATTCAGGTGTTCCTTGCTTCAGAGTTACAGCTTTCAAAAGTCGCACAGTCGAACAATTAACTTTTCTGAGGAAGGATTCTGAGAAACAATCTATGCGGGGACTGGAGTTGGGCATGTAGTCAGTCACTAGGCTGTGAAAACTCCCCTTGAATGGTGGAGCTTTCGCTGGTCTAGTGTCTTTTATATGGGTAATGTTATTTGCACTCCCCATATGTTATTTACACTCCCATTATTCCATTTTTATTTTGATAAGATCATATTACCCTCTCCTTAATTTCATCTCCTTGCCTATGAGTTAACTTTACTAGATTTTCTGTTACATTCTAAAACCAATTAATTATTCCATTACACATTAAAATGGCAAATTTAAAATAATCACTAATATGTATTATGTATTTTTCTACAAAATTTCATGAAATTATGATGCCAAAGATCAATCTAAGTGCTGTGCGGGATTAATTATCACATCCAGCAGGAGTCACCTTTAAAGCCTGTCGCTTTGCAAGGCAGAAGGAAGTAGCATCTAGGGATGGCAACCGGGGGGGAGGGGTCCCCCGCCCCGTTGCCTATTAATTCCCCCCAACCCCCGCCCCGTCCCCCGCCTCCCGCTCCCCCCGCCCCGCCCCTCTTCCCCCGCGGGGGCACCCGCGGGGTTAATAAAATTTTATTATAGTTAAATTTTAATAAATAATCAAGTACTAAAATATCAACACATCACCAAATTATTATTCATTGTAATTTTACAATTGAAGCTCATAAAAACAATCAAACAAAAGTTATTTGAATACAATTCAACATGATGAAATAAATACAACTAAAATAGTCAAATTTTCACTTTTGGTACAAATACAATCACTAATTCATTATTGTGTTTGTGCTTTTTTTTTGAGAAAAAAGTGTTATTCTATTAAGTGTAATTAGAAATTTAGTATAAATGTATTAGTAAATTTAGTATAACTAATTGATAAATTCTATTAGTAGACATGTCTAATTATTCATATAATTGATAATATCAATTATATTACATACACTAATATACATTATATAATACATCTAACTAATAATATCATTATCATAAGTTTATAACTAATTAAATTACATATTATATATAATTATATATATTTATATATATATATATACTTTTTTTGCGGGTGGCGTACACACCCCCCCCAGCCCCGTTTCTAAGCGGGGGGAAAAAATTCCCCCCGCCCCCGGCCCACCCCCACCCCGAGAGCCCCCCGCGGGCACCCGCCCTCATTGCCATCCCTAGTAGCATCCCACATTCCCACATCGGTGGAAGGAAGGGAAAATGAATGGTGGATCCAACGGTTACTTTGTAATTTGAGTTAACCATTTTTTGACATTAGCGGCATAGTTTCCTTAAACAAAGACTGAAGATTGAGAAATTTATAAACTAAATATAAGGGCTAATAGATTTATTCAATGAATAGAGGAAAGAAAAATAATGAAAGAATAATGATGAGCTAGTGTCGCAGAATTAATTACTTTTTCTAAATCTAAATCCACTTCGCCAAAAAAAATTTTGCTGCAGCACCTGGATGAAGATATACAAAGACCAATATTAATCCTACACCTTGAAATCCCAACTCACAATTCTAATGCATATGTGTCAGTTGTGCATGAGCATCATTAGCCGGTTAAAGGCTTTGCGGGTGATTGCTTGTGGTGAGGGATTATTCATTTCTTTTATAAATATTTATGAATGTACACATTTATTATATCCTTTTACTTACATAAAGGACCTAACCGCCAAATATCACCGAAGGACTAGAAACATGAAATCAAGGCATGATGATTAAATAAATTTAGGAGGACAAAATCCAACTAATTAATGTCTGAGAACTCCCTCATGAATCCAACTTCTCTGGAAAGGGAAAAAATTCTCTGAAGAAGAATTTATTTTGTTTTGTAGGAAAGAATAGTAGAATCTCTTAAGCAAAACATGTTTCCTATAATGGTGGAAAGCTATGGAGAAGGAGAAGTTATATCATTCTGAAATTAGGACGATTAGATATTTCACAAGATTGAAAAGAATTACTTACCACAGAATAATTGTTGGAGGGAGTTTCGAATATTTTGTTTTATATGAAACGTCTTAACGTTATCAGTTGAATCAATTTTTACTCACTCTTGGACAGAAAAGAAAGGAAAGAATCCAGTGTCATGTGGGCCAAAATTTGGAGCTAATGATTCCAAGTTAAGATTGTAGGAGAATGTCACAAATCCTTTGCTTGTAACTTGTGAGATTTCTTTCTTCAAACAAACAAAAAAAAAAAAAAAACTTGTGAGACTTCTAAGAGTTAGCTTGATTCTACGTAATGTTCAATGCTTGTGCAATACGCAACCTGGAAAGTAAATGCAAGAACTTAATTTTGCGTTCTTATCAATATAAGTATTGATTCCTTACCTATTACTAATACTTTCTCCTGTATACTGGACCACCAGCATTGCAAAAGGTTTCGCCAATATAAATTAGCTTCTTTCTTTGGTTCAATTCACCTAAATATTTTCTTCTGCTTAAATTCAAAGTTTTCAGAACGTAGCTTTACAATATACAAGGAATTTCTACATATTTTTCGCATCTGTTGTCGCCTCTCGGGAGTATTCATTCCCTCTCAAGTAAGTGCTCAAGTGCTTTTAACAAGTTGATCAAATAATTGTTTGGTTGCAGTATAGCTTCTACTGTTTTTTTTTTTTTTGGGAACATTTCTTCAGCTAATTCCAGCTTTTCTTGTTTTATTATGCATATATTTTGCACTTTGCGCTTTGATCTTGACGGGTGTCAAATTCATCTCTGGCTTTGTCTGATGGTTCAGTAGCCTGCAGTGTGGCATAAGACGTACTTCGAGTAATACTTCCATTAACAATTTTTTTTTTAAAAAAGTTGTTGAGTGCAAAAAGAAAGTTCCATATTCTTAATTTAGGTCTGCACTGATTTTGAAATTTCGAGAAGAGAAAATCCATTTAAGTTGTTTGCTACATGATGTCGCCTTTGTCACCAAAAAGATGGTTTGTACACTAATTTTTGGAGATGTCTCTTAAAAACTAGGGAATGGCTTCAATTTGTTCCTCAACTTTTACCAGTGATTTTTCTATTTGATCTCTTAGCTTTTAAAATTGTCTATCAGGTCCCCTAACTTATAAATTTGTTTCCAAATTGTTCATATGATTCCCTCCAAGCCAAATCGAAGCGTGGTAACGTTCATTTGATTTCAGGTATATTTTCCTTCTCAAAGCTTGAAAATAAAGTATAACCATATTGAATAGTTTTTTGGTTAAGTATTTTATGGTTGACCAGGTTGAGTAACAAAAAAATAACACTATTCTTGTAAAAATTTACATAAGGTAAAAAAATTACTCTTTAGTACATCACAAGCTTAGCATTACCTTATGCTTATAAATTTTGCTACCTTTGTTTTTTGTTATTAGTATGCCATCATCATTATTATTCTATTAAAGCCTGATAAACCTAAACTAGTAAATCTAAAAGTAACATTAATCTAACAAGAATAATGAAAACTAGTACAGAAATAAACTAAAAGAATTTTCTTTTAGCAATTTAACATTTTTTTAAGTCAATACTATAGAAAAGATGATAAAATGTGAAAACAAAATATTGTAAAAAGATTAAAGTAAACAAAAATTCCTATATCTTTCTTCATCTTCTTCTTAATTTGTTCGCTTCTTTTTAAGGTACCTTTTTTTGCTACACCTGTCATTTGAATCCAAATAAATCGATTAGCCCCACAATAGAATAATAATATTTATAACAATATACTACACAAATCAATAAAGGTAGTGAATAAAAATCAATAAAATTAGTGATTCCTTACCTACTACTGTTACTTTCTCCTGTATATTCCACCATAACTGCAAAAGTTTTTGCTATTATTAATTTGCTTCTTTCTTTGGTTGAAATTATTATCTTTGTCGAAATCTTCATCTCTTCTACTTGTTAATTTGCTTCTTTCTTTTGCGGAAATTATCATCTTCGTCCTAATATTCTCTTTTGCTTAAATTCAAAATTTTGAGTACATAGCTTTCCAACATACGGGGAGTTTCAACACATTTATCAGAGCTGTTGCCAGAGTATTTAAACTTTTTGGAGTAAGTTCTCATGCTCTTTTAACTTTTATATCAAATAAAATTTTGGTTGAAATATAGCTTCCACTATTTTGTTCTCCAAATATCTTCTGCTAATAATTCCTTTGTCGTCAAATAAATTTTTGGGCTGGAATTTTGCTTCCACTTTTTCTTGTATAGTTATGCATATAGTTTCCGCTTTGCTCTTTGATCTTGACAGATATTGAATTCGTCTCTGGCTTAGTTCTATGAGTTTATAGCTTCTAGTTACGCATAAAGTAATATTTTGGGTGGCATGTCCAATGAAAATATTTTTTAAGTTATTAAGTGTAAAAAGAAAGTTCTATATCCCTAATTTAGGTGTGTATTGATTTTTAAATTTCTCAAAAAAAAAAGAAAACATTTAATTTGTTTGCTGCATGATGTTCCCTTTGTTGCCAAAAAATTACAACTTCTCTAAAAGACTAGGTATCAGGCTTCAATAATCTCTCAACTTTCAGCCATAATTTTGTTGCATCTATCAAGTCCTTCAACTTATAAATTTGGTTTTAATTGGTCGCTCCAAATCAAATCCAATTTTGGTAATATTCATGTTGCTCTTAAGGTTTGATTTTTATTTTGCTTATCATTGTCTAAAATCAACTATTTCAGTATTGAATAAATAACAACTATGCAAAATTTGAATTTAAAATCCAACTTTTGCATATGTGTCATTAATCTAACGATGATAGTTTATGCATTGTCAGTGTATATAAAATTAATCCTTTAATTTATTGTATGATACTTAATAGTTTAAGTATTTAATAACCAAATAATTTGACTAACAAAAAAATAATTTGAGTGTGTTTAAATAGGAGATTATTTGAAATAATATATGGAAAAAAATTGCTATAGCACTTTTTGAGAAGTGGTGCATGTGAAATATAAAAGTAGTTTAAAAAGTAAAAAATTAATTGAAAATTGTGTTTGTGATACAAGAAAAATATTATTTGAAATAATTTTGTTTTCCAAACACACTCACAATATTTCTAACGATTTACATATACTAAAAAAATTGAAAAATTACTCTTCAACACATGAGAAGTTAGCATCGCCTTATGTTACAAATTTTGCTAACTTATTTAGTCCTGTTACAATGTCATCATCATTATTTTTCTGATTAAATTCTAATAAACCTAAAATAATCTAAAAAGAAACATTAATCCAACAAGAATAAGAAAAGATTATATGCAAAATAAATAATAGAGATTTATTTAACTATTTAATGTTTTTGTATAGTTGTTATTGTAGAAAAGAACATAACGTTTAACAATGAAAAGATTACAAAAAAGATACACATAAATAAAAATCCCAATATCTTGTTTTGATTTTTTTTTCTTCTTCTTTGTGTGCTTCTTTTTTAAGTACCCTATCTTGGCTAATCATGTCATTAGAATCTAAATATATCATTTAGTCCCAAATTAGAATGATAATGTGCATAACAGTAGATTGGAATTAATATGCTCAGACAAAATTTGTTAAAGGAGATTGTTATCAGTTTTTTTAGTTAAACTAGTTTTTCTTTTCTTTTGGTTAACTCTTCCATCCCTCTCCACACCCTTTCCACCCCCAGCTGCTAGGTACAAAATTTGAATTCTAAATCTGGTAGTGGTTAAGATTCTAAGAACCCTCCCCTCGCCGCTAGTAACCAAACTAGTCAACAACTCAATATTTATGGAAACCATTAAAATGGCAAATTTGACTACTTTATAAGTTAACTTGGGAGGAGCCAAACTTACAATAAAATGAATCTTAGTCTAATAGAATGAAAATTTTCTTGATTAGATTCAGTTTTTGGGACGAATTAAAACCAAATTCAGAATTTTCAACACATATTAAATTATTCAAATAAGTCAACTATTAGATACTTAACTGAAACTATTAAAAAGGACAGATATGTTTTATATTTAAAATTAGAGTAGGAAAATAGACATTAAATTGAACCTCAGTGGGAAAGTAAATATTACCATAATGAGATTTAGCTTGGATGGACTATTCATAACTTAATTTATAAGTTGAGGAACTCAATAAACACTTATACAAGTTGAAAGACTAGATAAAATCATTGGTAAAAGTTGAGGGACAATTGGAAGTCATTTACCCAAAAAATTTTACTCGAGATAAAAATGGTGTTTGAAAGCATTTCCTACAAATAGTAATGTCCATTTTTCCTTGTGAAAACCTCGGGCTTATAAAACCCTGTAAATGAATAAAGGTCATCGCCTTTGTGTGTGCTCCTATCTCACTTTAGGCTTTAGGGTTGAAACATCCAAAGATTCCATTTTCCAGGGACTCTATATCGTATGCTTTGAACTCTTCCTAAAATTCATTCACCAGGATTGTCCCAATTTTTTTTTCATAACATTCTTGATAATTTGGTTTTGGAATAGGGACAATACTTCATTTAAATCGGTTTTTTTAAATTATCTTCCATGGCTCATGATTCAAAGACTAAGCTCCATGCATGATCTTCCACCTTATGTATGTATTTTGTTAACATGTTCCTCGAGTTTGTAACCATGCATGTCCACCAATTATTCTGAAAATATTTCTTTGATTAATCGATAAGTATTCTTGGTGGTCATTGACTGGCTGCCTAAAATGAATCCGAACAATGTTTTCATGTTAATGTAGAAGATATGTTTTCTTCGTTTCCTAGTAACAGAAACTTTTGCTTATAATTATGATCCAATTTTTCATTTTCTATTGGGTCTATCAAGTTATAAATCTCTAATAACTTTATTAACATTGATTTAACTTTCTTGAACTGTGAGTTTCAGGTCACACGTGATGGAAGCATTTGTGGGAATTCTCGTCGATACTTTGAATTCCATGATCCAGAAGGAGAGTGGATTGCTTTGTGGTGTTGCAACTGACATGGAAAAGCTTGCACGCTTGCTCTCCACCATCAAGGCAGTCCTTGAAGATGCTGAGCAGAAGCAATTCACAGACAAGGCAATACAACTCTGGTTTCAGGAGCTCAATGGTGTTGCCTATGAAATCGATGATGTATTGGATGATTACGCAGCTGAAGCCTCAAGAGTCAAGTACAAAAATTCTGGTTGTTTTAGTTTGATGTGTTACCCTATAGCAGGAAACTTAGTGTTTCGTCACAGGATTGGGACAAGGATGAAGGAGATCCTTGAAAAATTTAATGCAATAGCTGATGAGCGGATAAAGCTTGGTTTGATTGATCAGAAGCGTGGGAGCAACCACTTTCAGGTTGATTCTACTGGAACACGTGAGACTGGTTCCTTGCTAAAGGAACCTGATCTAGTCCTTGGAAGGGACGAGGCGAAAGACGAGATTGTGAAAATATTGGTGAATCAAGTCAGAGATAATCAAAATGTATCAGTGCTCCCTATAGTGGGTGTTGGAGGCCTTGGAAAGACAACACTTGCCCAATTGGTGCTTAATGATGAGCGCATAGCCAAGCATTTTGAGCCAAAACTCTGGGTTTGGGTCTCAGAGGATTTCAATGTGAAGAGGATTATAAAAGCCTTAATTAATTCAATACGCGAGACTCCTGTTGAAGAATTAGAATTGGATCCTCTGCAAAGAAAACTTCAAGAGTTGTTGAGAGGGAAAAGATACTTGGTTGTACTGGATGATGTTTGGAATGAGAATCTAGAGGAATGGGAGAAACTGAAATCTGTTCTGGAATGTGGATCAAGAGGTAGTTCAATCATCATGACAACTCGCATGGAGAAGGTTGCCACAATAATGGGCACATTAAAAACATATTATCTGTCGAGTTTGTCAGAGAATCAGTGTTGGTCACTGTTTAGGCAACGGGCATTTGGCCGTCAAGAGGCTGAAGAATATCCTAACCTTGTAGTTATCGGAAAAGAGATTGTGAAAAAATGTGGTGGTGTTCCGCTGGCTGCAAAGGCTCTTGGAGGCTTTCTACGATTTAAAAGGGGAGAAAATGAATGGAACTCTGTGAAATGCAGTGAAATCTGGAACTTACCTCAAGATACAACACATATCTTGCCCGCGTTGAGATTGAGCTACCTTAATCTTCCGATAGAGTTTAGAGGTTGCTTTGCATATTGTGCAGCATTTCCTAAGGGCTATGAAATTGAAATAGAAGAGGTAATACATTTGTGGATGGCAAATGGATTGATTTCATCTAATGAAACGATGGAAGTGGAAGATGTTGGTGTTGCTGTGCTGACTGAACTATATTATAGATCACTATTCCAAGCAGTAAAGGAAGATGAATTTGGCAATGCCCTCACTTTTAAGATGCATGACCTTGTCCATGATCTGGCTCGATCAGTAACGGAGGCTAAACACGGTGGAACAGAGTCAAACAGAACCATGATATTAGGTATGCCAAATCATCAGCTAACAGTGGCTTTTCCTATTACAATCACAGGCATTGACCAATGCTCTTCTTTCTTGTCAAACTGTGGCTCCCTGAGGGCTCTCATGGTAAAGTCTATGAAGGAGGATGAAGTGCCTAGGAATTTTTTAAATGCAATAAGCAAACTGAAACATTTAAGGCATCTGGATCTTTCAAGATCTTTAACTGTTGAACTACCCAATTCAATTTGTGACTTGTGGAATTTGCAAATTTTGAACCTAAATTATTCTCTCATTCTTTGGAGTCTACCCAAGGGCATGAGATTCCTCAGAAATCTTCGACATCTTTGTCTACATGGGTGTTGGAGTTTGACTTACATGCCAAGTGGAATTGGGAAGCTGACTTGCCTACGGACATTGGGTATGGTCGTCCCGAGTGGCAAAAAAGGCTTCCGACTAAGTGAGTTGCGAGACTTAAATATGCTTAGAGGAGGGCTAACAATTATGCACCTTGAGAGGATTGAAGACAAAAAGGATGCAGAAGAAGCTTGCTTAATTAAAAAACAGAGTCTCCGCGGGTTGAATTTGCATTGGGATTCCGAAAGAAATATTCAACGGTACAATGATGAGGAAGTGCTCGAAGCCCTCAAACCCTGCCCCAACCTTCAACTGCTGCGTGTCCTAGGCTTCAACGGTTCATCATTTCCATCTTGGATTTCAACTGTAACAGAAGTTGCTGTGAAAGAAAGTGCAGCGGAGTACATAGTTGGGGCCTGGGAGAGCACTGCTGCTGCTGCTGCAATGTCCCCTTCTTCGTTGAAACAGCTGGAGTTAAAGAACATGCCCAACCTAAAAGGAATGTTAGGAAGAGAAGTCCAAGGTACTCCAGGGGTGTTCTCTCAACTTCAATCCTTGTCCTTTGGGGATTGCCCAACGTTGACATTGCCATTGCCACGTATGCCATCCCTAAAGAAGTTAAGCATCTCGAGCTGCCCGAATATGGCATGGGCTTCAATCTCCAATCTCGCTAGTCTTAACTCCCTTAAAATTAAGAACATTAAAGGATTGAGTTGTTTTCCAGAAGAGATGCTACAAAATCTTAGTCTTCTTGAATCGCTGACAATTAGGGAGATATGGGATCTGCTAGCCCTACCCAGAAGCTTGGCTAGCCTCAAGGCTTTGAAGGAATTGACCATCAAGCACTCTCCCGAGCTGGAGTCTCTGCCAGAAGAAGGATTGCGAGGCCTTGCTTCTTTGCAGGAACTACATTTGGTCGACTGCTATAATTTGGTGAGCCTCTCAATGGGGACTAAAGCCCTCAAATCCCTGACTCATCTAAGCATCCAAGGGTCATACGCGACAGCTCTGCCAGAAGAAGTCAAATATTTCCCCGCACTACAAAAACTGGAGTTGGATGATTTTCCCAATCTAACTTCATTGCCAGACTGGTTTGGAGACCACCTCACTTCTCTTCAACACCTGGAACTAGTCAAATGTCCGGAGCTTGAAACACTTCCATCCAGCATTCAAATGATGACGACACTCCAAAGTTTGACAATAACTTGGTGCAATCTACTGGGACCACGGTGTGAAAGGGGAGGAGAGGAATGGCACAAAATTAAGCATATTCCGGATGTGACAATTACGGGGCCTGAATTTGAATTGTGTACTATTTTGTAAGTGTAGAGAGAGAGAGAGAGAGAGAGAGAGAGAGTTATTTGATCTTCTTTTTTTTTTGGCTAGTGCATATGTCAGTTTTTTTAAAGAACCAAAAAAAATCCCCTTTAACTGGTTCGGACAGTGATATGAAAAAAAAGTAGCATCTTTGTTCTAAATAGTTGAAGTTGGATATGGATCAAACAATAAAATATTTTTTTTAAAAAAAAGTGAATCTGTATAATAAGATAGTAAAAAAAAACATGTGGTCAATCAGTTGAAAAACAAGGATTAGGATCTCCTCCTATTAAAAAGAGGAATTATTTTTACCAGTGATACAAATCAGCCTACAAGTCGAAATGACTCATCACTTCAGGTTCCATTTCATAGTGTATTTGTTAATTTAAACCCAAAAAAAAAAAAGGATTTATCCTTTCCCTTTATTTGGCTCACATGAGATAATAATTGGTACCTTCTTTATATTGATAAGTTACATATCAAACAGCTATCAAGAAAAAAAAAAAAGCGAATCTATAAAATAACTACGAAATTTTCCCCAAAAACAAAAAAATGGATTTATGATTGAAAATCCGAAGTGTCATAACATCCAGCTAACTTTTGATTGAGAACATATTAGGAATGAGCTAGAACCTGGAACACTAATAACAGGAATAATAACTCCAGCAATACCTAAACACCTCCTACTAATTTATACCATGCGCAGTGATATGAATTTAGTCATGTGCAAGAGCTTGTTGCATTAAAGGAGGAAGATATTGGTATTTGATTAAAACCCTGTTTGGATGAAGTTCATAATTATATCAAGAATGTTAATTTATGTGTTGTAATTTCATGTGCACATGACTATTTAGCATTTTAGTAGTTTACTGTTGTATTTTTTTTCTTGTATAGTTTTATTCACAAATAATTATTTAAGAAAACATAATTTCAGATTTTGTAAACTATCCATTGATAGTTGTTAACAAATTTGTGGTAGGGCGAAATGAAATTCGCGCCTCTGTTCCAGGAGGTTCGTGCATAGAGCGATGTATGTAAAAATTATAGTTCACATCCTTTAAAAAAACTCAAATATTGACCATGGAGTATTGGTACAGGTGTTCAACGACATATTAAACAGCCCATTTATAATTTCGCTGACTCTAAGTGCAAGTAATGGTTCAACAAATTTGCATTTTGTACCCTAACTCTATTCAATTGGTTAATCGCTAACTGGTTAGCTTGTAAGATAGAGTCAAACATATAGGGTAACCTCTTGTACTTGAAAGAAAAAAAAAAGAAGAAAAACATAATTAGATTAACAAAGAAAACAATACAATAGATGTCCAAATTAATAAAAGTGTTTAATCCTACAATCCTTTAAATGTCACAATATAAAGCATTTTCCAAGGCTTCAGATAAGTTGGCCATCAATGGATATGCTATTTAGGTAGATTGATCTTTCTGTTCTTTGCTACAATTTTATATATATGAAAGATGCTATTGATATATTTTTTTTTGAAGAATAAATATGCTATTATTTTTCTCCTATTATGAAAGGGAAAAAAGTTCTTTTTTTTTTCTCCATTGTAAACGCTCGAAGTCGATCCAACAATGAAAAACATGCGAATGTGTATATGAATAACTACAAATTAACGGGCATAAACTGCTTGGATTAGCTGTTTTTGGGGATGTTTTTAAAAACTTTGCTGTAGCAGAGTTTTTAGAGTATAATTTAGAATATTTTTAGAAAATATTTTGAAATATTTTCTATTGGCACTTTATTTTGAGATATTTGGTAAAATTTTAAAAAAAATTAAACTAATTTTTAGATTACCTTTTAGTGTCATGTTACCTCACTAGCCTTTGACTTTTCTGGAAAGCATATTATTAAATACAAGAATAATAAATATTTCCAAAAACACCTAATTTCACCTATTGAATTTACACCAATAACTTTTTTGACATGAATTCAGTCATCTGCAGGAGAGTGGATTAGATAAATAAAATTTGTGTTGTTTGATTAAAGTTTTTTTTTTTTTTGTTTTCTCACCATATCATTGCGTCAGACCATCCAAAATTGTAGATGCAACTCATAGACCATTGATTACATTTTCAAATTTCATGTTCCCATGACTATATACAACTAGCGTTTTGTTAATTGTATAGTTTTACTCGGGGACAAAAACAATCACCAATTTAGTTTTACTCTGATAACTCGCATAGAGTGGTCCATAACAAATAATAGTTAATCCTTAAATTTCTTTAGAGAACCGACATATGATTCTAGAATTTAAATATGTTATTTGCTTGGGGCAGGTCTACAAAGGAACTTTCCAGTTTATCATGATAATTAATTAGCTACGGTTAAATAACAAGTTTATTTCAAGGTATATGGTGAGTCCAATAAATTTCTTATCTTTCATGGGGAGGTGATTAAATAACTAAAATATGAGATGAGATCAAGATATTGGGGAGGTAGCAGGCTCATTAAGTCTCAAATTTGTAGTAACTTATTGTGATAATAGCATTTTCCGCCCAGTCACTTTTTTGGGTAAGTGATAATTATTTGATGTCCAAAAATCATTATCAAACATGCATTTCGAAAATCATTTTTATTTCTATACATAAAAAATCATAATTAGTTGATAAGTCTCGAGTTGATGATACAAACGACACCAACCTTGTGATGCAACCCGTACAGAAAGGATAGGATCTAGAAGGCGAGGACTCACGTTGATGACACACAAACGCAGCGGAATCACCTAAACCCGTTGATCACATGGTCAACGAACCTCGGTATTGGTAGAGGACGCCACAATCTAGCGCGGTCCTAAATTGATAAGTCGTATTGAATACCTAAGAACGATTCTAAGATATTCAATGGAGCTTCAATAAAGCGTTGAGAGAACTCTCAAATTGTATTTTTATTAATCATTAAAAACTGGATGTAAACAATGACTTAAGGTTATTTGTAGTCGTGACTAAGGCCTAAGCCCAACAACGTATATACCGTAAGCTCCGGGGGCGTCGCCCCCGAGCCCCCACCGGGGTGCGTCGCCCCCTAGACCCCCGACTCGCTGACCGGGCAGCGAAATCCCCGTACCAGCTCAGCGTAGGGACTAACTGCGTAGCTCACTAAAGTGCTATTGGCCCACATGGCCTAACCCATTGATCCGAGAACTAACAACGACTAAGGTCCAAACCACAAGTTAGTTGGACCTCTTTATTATATTCTACTAAACTAATAATGGGCCAGGAAACCCTTAGCCGACTCTTGGATTTCTAATCTTTAGTGATGGCCGAAACTAGGACAACAGGTCTAGCTTCGTTGAGGCCCTCGATGGCGTTTGGCTCTCCATTCGACTCTCGGGCCGCACGAACCAATGTTTGTAGTGTCTCATTCAATCTCTTCGCGCGAGCTCGTGTCATAGGCCTCAATGGCACCTTCACTTACTCCACTTGGATAGGTCTCCCGACCTCCTCATCAATTGATCACTTTGATTTTTGGAGGCAGTACGGGAAGCACTTTTATCCTAAGTGAAGGTTAATCTTTTGTTTTTTTTTTTTGGGTTTCTGGATTCTTAAACAAAATCAGAAGAATTATAAGCAAACATTAAGGAGGGATACCTGAACTTGTGCATCAATCACCGTTTCAATTTTTTTTCAGTTTTCAGCTGCTTAATTCGAGATTCTCCAATGTTCAATCTCCAGTCCTATAATTCATGAAAATGTCCAGGCAATTTTATCTTTTTCACGCTCTCTTGTTTTCCATTTTTACCAATTTGGGTATCCAAAGGGCTGCACAAGTTTATCGATGCTGGAGATGATCCCCATATATTATGACCCAGTAAAATGGAAAATGCGAAGCTACGACCAGTGATTCATGGACAGATGATGTGATAGGAATAGTGTATAGCATTCAACCAAAAAATAAATAAATAAATCCACTAGTACATTAATTATGAGCGCTCTCGACTATAACAAAAATTAAAAAAAGCAAAACACTTTATAAATGAAAAAGCAAAACACTTTATTGGCTTGGACGTTAGGCACTTTATAAAAAAAATTGTTTTTAAAAAGTCGTAAAATGCCTGCGGCAAAAATGGCAAGATGTCAAGTTAACAGTCTCTTCTGATCTTTCTCATAAGTTTCTTCAACGAAAGATCCAACTATAAGAGATCAGAGTTGAATTAGGGGAAAAGAGAGAGATTGGACTTTGCAAAATAGCAGGATTAACCATTCAAATTTTATAAATGAATCATTGGTCGAAAATCAAAGAAACTTACGGGTCTCAAATGACCAGGAAATGCCAGGTTGTACACTTGCTGCAATAGGATGTCTTCAAAGCACACAACTGCAGAGTTCATGAATGACTTATTTCAGTCTTCTAGTCCATAAGATCACTAGCAACAACAAACTAAGGGAGATTTTTAGACCATAGTGCATCTTGAACCTGTTTGACTGACTCAAACCATGGCAGAAACTTAAACAACTCCGAAGCATGACCAGCATCTTTAATGGAAAGTAGGAGGAGTATCATCATTTAATACCTAACAATTGATGAAGCATTATAAGCCCGTGTGGACAAACGAGCCATCACAAGGGTACATTGCATTTGAAATGGAGGTAGAAGATGAGTCTCGTGGATACGACTGCAGTAGGATAACAGTTAAGATCATGACAAAAAGGAGGTGCTAACAGCAAAATGTAGGATGAACTTAACCATATTAAAAGTTTACAAGTCAATTTGAACAACTTATTACTAAAAAAAAAAATCTTCATTCAATACACCATGTAACATCTTTTTTAATCACGTTTGTAGTATTTTAATTAACATTTTTCTCACAAAAAGTGTTACAACTTTTTTACGCGAGATATAGGAATTGAAGTTTTCTCAAACAAAAATAATGTGCTCTACACAAAATGCAAAAGTGTGACTATAGAACTAAAAACACCTGTAAGCCATACATTAGCCTATGTAAAAGCAAAAATTTGTTGAGTAAAGTCCCATGACATGCATCCCAATTCCTTCGTTCCTTTCTTTCTCCATGCAGCCATCACCTGCCCAACAGTATTGATGATTTGTTTCATCAATGAATCTGCTGCTGCAGCAACGCCTTTGGTTTGCCTCGTATTCCTCTCTTGCCAGATTCTAGCTCCAAGTGCAATCTTGTTGACC